GAAAGCAAGGTCAGCATCCTACCAGTGCATCCACAGTGGGACCTCTGGAGAAGAGCTGACCAAACCCAAGCTCAATGATTTGACACCAGCTGTCCAAGTACTCAAAGTACAAATAACCAAGACATAAGAAAATCAATTACAACTGAAATCACTGTTTTTCAGGCTGTTATAAATGACCCAGAAGTAACTCATGAAATCAATGAAGTGGGTTGCAATGAGCCTATTTTTAAAATGAAATACAACAGGGTTAAAAATATGTATTTTCAAGTATATTGCACATAAGGATGAATACTGTTTCATAAAATACACAACCAAATTTCAGCCTAACAGTAGTTCAACACAAACTTTCAGGGTGCAGTCTGTTGGGAGTCGGCCGGCTGAATTAAGGGTGCTTCCCTCCAGGTCACCAAGCCTGCCCAGAACTTCCAACATCGGCTGCAAGTTCAGGGATTCCCCAGGGCCACCCTCACTTCAGAGCAGCTGGCTACAGATCCAGGAGTCCCCACACATTCAGTAATTCTCTAGACGAACACGTAAAACTCAGGAAAATGCTAGACTTAGGATTACAGTTTTATCATAACAAAAAGATTCAAAGCAGAAAGAGCCAAAGTTAGAAAGCATAGGCAGATTTGGAAGAGTTTCGAACCTGAAGCTTTCTGGCCCTCCGACACGTGTCACCCTCTCGTCATCCATCTAGAACAATACTCAGAGTATTACCAATTCAGGATGCTTCCCAGAGCGCCAATGCCAAGGGTTCACTGAGTTTCATTAAGTAGGTATGAGTGATGGAATAATGGGCCTGCAGCTGAACTAACCGTCCAGCTCCCCCATCCCCAATGTGTGGCTCACAGACCCCACCCTGACTCACCCACCATGCATGAACTATGTAAGGACCTCCTGGAATAACAAAACATGCCCATTATCCTAAGGAATTATGCTAAAAGCATAAATAAGATAATAAGAAAATTCCTTATCAGAAAAAAAAGAAGATTGGAATTGATCTCTTAGGAAGAGTACTTTAACGGGCATTTAAATTAGGGGGCTGTATGAGTAAGGAGCAATGAATGTGCGCTGGTGGGTCTGGGTTACAGGAACCTTAACTGTGCCCAGGATGTGGACTCTGTGGGTCCAGTGGGAAGAGAATGTTCAACAAACATATTCTGCATGTCTATGACACAGGAGCCCAGCACTGTAAAAGGGCCTGAAGAGAAAGACCCTTTCCACAAGTTAGGAAAACAACTGCAGGGCTGGAAAGCCTGGAATTAAAGGTGGAGACTCAGCCTACAGAGGGCAACACAAAAAACAAGAGGAATAGACGGGAGCAGAGTTAAGACACGGGTCACTCTTTACTCACATTAGAATCTTCAATACTTCAGGTTCCACCTTTGGAAAAGTTCTAAAAACTTAAAATGTCATCTTCAGATTTCTTTAGAAAAAAGCTCAATCTGTGAGGTCTCAAGTTTGTTTTTTCCAAATTAGGCAGCATGATACGTCCTCTTACTCAATATCTGTACTTCAAGGACTGAGACTCACCAAAGGAAAAAATGAAATTCTCCCAGGGTAGGGACTGTGTCTCTTACCTTGGGCTGCACCCCCCACAACGAGCAGCACATAGGAAGTATCAAGAAGTATCAGTTAACTGTAGGAAAGAGGTAACCTAACACCACTGACAGTCACCAGGCACAAGCCCTGGGGCCTTCAACCATTCAGTCTATCTCTGTGGCACAAAAACACAGGACACTTTCAGTAATCTTGCCAAAATAAGGAGTGCAGTTCCTTCCTGCCATTAGCCTTACCAGTGGAAAACATCTGACACTCCTCTCCACACTTCAGTCTGAAAAGAGCCCAAATAAATGCTTTGAAGGAAGAATTTTTTTACATTTCAAAAATATACCGTTCTTACTGCTCTATGTATACACAGGCTATCATGCGAAATGGCATTCATAGACTCCTCAAACCTGCCCACAATATGACCACTCAGCACCCCCCCACCCCGGTGATACTCTCTCTGATCCAGCACATGCCCCTCTGCACCCCTGGGGCCTCACCCCTGCCCAGTCTAATCTCAACACAGCAGCTGAACACTTCTTTCTAAATGTCCCACCTCTGCTCAATGGCTTCATCCTCCAGTGGCTTATCTCCTTCAGAGTAAGCCCAAGCCCTCACATGGCCTCACCAGACATGTCCTCTGTAGACCCTAAAACAGCATCTGAAAACTATGATCCATTGCTCACCACCTTTGTGTACAGCCGACAAAACCAAAAATAATTTTTACCTTTATAAACAGCTGAAAAAACTCAAAAGTAGAGTAACATCTTGTGACATGAGAAAAACCACATGGAATTCAAACTGCAGTGTCCGTAAATAAAGTTATACTGGGATACAGTCAAGCGTTATTGTTTATGTATTGTCTAGGTCTGCTTTTGCAAAGCACCAAACACTTACTTTCTGGTTCTTTATATAAGGAGTTCACAGACTCCTGCCCCAGAGCGCTCATTTTTATGTAAGGAAATACCTTTCCTACCCATCCAGAATAGTTCTAGTTATGTATCTGTGGTGGCATTGAGAAAATAGTCACTCAAATTACTTTCAAGTTCAGGTACAGATGAAGGTCTGGTTGAAAAAGGCTACTGGGTCTCTAGGCCAGGCCACAGTGGTTTCCCTGCCAATGTGGACAGGACGAGCACTCTCATTTCAAAACTGTTCACCCACTTTCTTTTGAGCCCCGGAAGACCCAGGCTTGCTTTCTCAACTCTCAAGTCTTTGCCCAAATGTCACCTTATAGATAAGGCCATCCCTGACTCATCTACTTAAAAGTGTATTCCACTCTCACCCCCTTCCCTGCTCTACAGTTCTTAACACATCACCAACTTATTAAGTAACCAAGTACTTGGTTGTTGGTGACAGAACGTGAGCTCCGCAGAGGCAGGGACTTTTGTCTGTTGCTCACTACCATATCCCTAGCACTCAGAAGAGTGCCTGGTAATAGAGCAGTTGCTTAAAAAAAAAAAAATTGTATGGAAGATAAATAGACACAGGTATACATCCCCTGTTAATAACCACCATGGTGCATTATGTCAGCATAATCGACAACACCAAGTAAAATAAACAAGGCAATGGAATCCTGTTAGATGCCCAACATGAACTGAACTGCCCTTTAATCTTAATTTGTTGATTCCATAAGTCAGCCTTCATGGAGAGCTTAAAAACCAAATGATGCCCACTACCAAACTGAAACAAGGTGGCCCTTTTACTTTTCCCCTCACAGAAATTCAATTCTGCAAATACCTAGTTATCGTCACATATTGTCTTAAAGCTGGAAATACAGAAAAATAAGCCACAGTTACTGCCCTCAAGAGGGCTAAATCTAGATGTGATCCCAAGAGGCTATCAAGTAATTATAATAAAGTTCATATAATGAAAGGTGTCTACAAAGGGTTATAGGTAAATGACCTCCACTTAGAGGATCTGGGAAAAGCAAAGAGAATATGTGGACCTAATCTTACAGAAAGTCTTTCCAGGGAAAATGCAATATGGGTGCCCAGAAACAACCACACAAAGGTGCGTTAAGCACCTGAACTGCTGGGAGACAGCAAATCACAGGGCATGGGCAGGAAAAGGTATGGAGATGAAGCGGAAACAGATGGGCAGACTTCCATCCTCTTCTTGAAGGGGGCAGCATAGAAAGGTGGGGAAACTTTAGTCCACAGGAAATGCAGACTCATCAGAAGATTTTAAGTAACTGGACTATTGATGATTTAGGCCTTCCTCTCTTGGAGGTTAAGGAGACAGGTGCAAACACTGAGAAATATAACCCTGTGGTGCTATTCCAAAGGAAGAATCCCGACAACTACAAGGAGAGTGAATTCTAATTTGGAACACTGGCACATGAGTCTGCTTACACAGACACCTAGAGAATCCGGTCTCCCTGGTTCGGCTTTTATAGCCAAGAAATCCAGAATCCTTGCACTCCATCTGTCTTTAGCTTACATCCATTTGTAAGCAGGGGCCAAGAAAATGAGCCAGCAAACCAGGGTTGTAATGGGTCTGGGGGCATCGGGAGGCCCCAAGAGAGTATATCAGTCCAGCAGCCTTGGGTCTACTCGATGAAGGAGAAACAGGGATGCCAGGCGTGTGCAACGCAAAAGATCCTGGTTTGCAGTGTCGGTGCTGCAGGTGAGGACGGCTAGGTGAGCGGACTGAGGTGACAGGTAATCCGGCTTGTATAGGAAACGCGCAGGTGAGAGGGTACCCGGCTTGGATCGGACCGAGCAGGGTAAGAGGGGACCCCGCTTGCAGAACAGGCAGGTAAGAGAGAACCTCGCTTGGAGAGTGGGCTGGGCTGGTGAGGGAACCCAGCTTGGAGAACAGGCCAGCAAGTGCGCGGCGCGGAGGAAGAGCCCCGGGCGCTCCATTCCACCCTCCGGTATCCCTGACCCCGGCCTCCTCCCGATCACCGTTCCTGGCCCGACGGCGCAGCCCAAAACGCATGAGACCCACCCCGACCGTTCGGGAAAGCCAGAGTGGGGCTAGATCAGCGCTGTCTCACCCAGACACACGAAGAGCACAGACTTCGGCAGCTGCTCAGCCATCTTCCCGCGCGCACACCCAGGCGCCCACTGAGCGCGTCGGGACGTTTCCTGCGCGACGCATGCGCACCTCGAGGGTCCCGCCCCGCGCGCCTGCGCAGTACGGCCTTAGCCCCGCCCCGGGGCGAGCGCCGGGCCTTGCACCTGCGCAGTACTGAGGCGGGGGGGGGGCCACAGTCCTCCGGAGAACGGAAGGGGCGCCACGGGGGAGGGGGCGGTGTGGGGGTGGGGCAAAAGGTCAGGAGGCGGAGGAGGGGCCTCGGGAGGGGGAGGAGCTTCGAGGAGAGGGGTGGAGTGGGGGCGGGGCCGTGAGTCACCTGGAAAGGGGAGGGTCCCGGTGGGGGGCTGGACTCAGGTCACCTGAGGGCGGGGGAGGGCTCCCGGAGCACATGGTGGGGGTGCGTGGGACTACTGACCGACACCTGAGGGGCCGGTCCTGGACCGAGGGTTAGGCCTCTCCCTCCTGGGGTTCAGGTGAACGTCCCCCCAGACCTGGGCCGCGCGGCTCAAACGCGAGGCCCGCGATCAGGGGGTGAGCGGAGCCCGCACAGGACCAAGGAGGACCTCCCCGGACCCCGAGACCCCTGCGTCGCCCTGCCGCCCACAACCGTCCGTTCTGGGACAGGGGCCGTCGGCCTAGGTTGTCCCAATTCTAAGATGAGATGCTTTAGGAGCCACCATGGGACTGACAAGGTCCAGAGCAGACCTTCCCTAGTTGCCACCCCGAGTGCCGTGTTGTTTTTGTCCAGAGAATATGTAAAGTAGGTGCTTTGTACTGGACAAAAGCGGGGTGTTCACCTGCTCCCTTACCTGTCTCAGGTGTGCGCCTCGTCGGGGCCCGTCCCTGCCCTGGGAGGCGGGGCCAAGCGGAGAGTGCCCTTCCTGTTCCTGGGTAGGTGTCCGCAGCTCGAGGGGCGCCGGAGAGGACCAGGCTCCGGGGTCACAAGTGAGTACGGGTGTCGGTACCGCCCCTGAGCCTCACCCAGAATCGGGGTCACCTCCACCCCCTTCCCCTTTAAAAAACTTTGCTGGAGAGGGTAAATGGGTGGCGAAGAGGGCGAGAAACGAGCGTGTCTTTGGGATTTGCTGTCGTCATCCCGCGAACTGTCAAAGATTAACCAGCTCTCTGGACGCGACCACGGTCGTTTCCGTTCACAGAAAAGCTCTAACGCTTAATTTTAACTACTGTAATTCATTTTATGTTATTTGTGATTGTGTAATGTTTGAAAAGCCACTTACTAGTTACTGCCTTTTCCGTTCCAATTTGTTTCAATAAATGACACTCTAAGTCTGTCAGGGTGGTGTGGGTGTGCTGTGCGCTTGACTCGGGGGGGCAGGAGGCCGGGAAGATGCGCGCTGGGCGGTTGCCCCGAAGTGTGCCAGGCCCTCCACACACTCACCTGGCCCTCCCTGTGACCAGCCAGGCTGTTTGGGGAACCGCTTGGAGTAGAGAGGTCTCTGAGAGCAGAAGAGGTGGGTGGGGTGGCCACTCTGGCCCTGGGAGCACAGGGCGTCTGTGGATCTCCTTGCTGCAGTGGATCTTTCATATTGAAACAAGTTAGGAAAGTGCTATGAACTGGTGAGTGACCACAAAGAAATGAGATGTACCTGCTGGCCAGAAACGTGGCCTTTTCACTTCATTTCAACAAATGTTTCCAACTCTGCCAGGGCTGAGTTGGAAAGAATGACACAGACAGGGCCCCCTGCCCCACAGGGAGTCAGAATCTGATGGGTCCAGAAAGTTCTACCCGTAGGAGAGAAGATTTTCAGGTTTTCTTCTGCTTACAGAACATGCCTCTCCTGCATTCTTGTTCTCAGGAATGTTTTTATTGAGATATGGGAGATGCCTAATTAATAATAAGTTAGAAGATGCACTCCAGAGAAATGACAGGTCTCCCAGGAGCCCTTTACTTCCTTGTGTGGGCCTGCTCTTGCATTACCTGTGCAGGCCTGACTGCTCAGGTGTTTGCAAATTACTATGTTGGAGGTTAGAATAATCAAAATAAATTATAACTTCCATCCTGTTCATCTTGTTTAAATTAAGGAAAATTGGCTGTTTGGTTTGCTAATGTTCTATTTAAACAAAGTTTCTGTAAAATGAGAAAATACTAACCTTCATCTTTTGTAAGATTAAAAAATAATAGTAACAAGTCTTTGCTCATCAAGAGTGATTTGAGGCTTTTATTCCACCTAAAAAGTAGGATATGGTGCCTCATGGGTCAGAGGGAAATCTGGCTGGCTGTGTTGCTGGACTGACTGCCTGTCACAAGTCCTTCTACCTGTTGCCTTGTTTGCAAGTGTGTCGTGATAAGACATAATCCTATGCAATTTAGAACCTAAGCACACTGAATTTTCTGTTTTCTTTGGAAGAGTCCATTTTTTACACCAAATGATCAGACTAGAGTGGCATGTGTAGTCTGCTGTGAGCCAGGATCTCTCCTTAGTTTGAGAAAAGATAAAGTGAGTCTAAGTCAAGGGTCTCCTTATGCTGAAAGCTAAGTTCTCACCACTCCCTACTCTCTGTCCCACATCTGCAGCCTGGGGTCAGGGGGAGGAGAAAAGAAGCACAGGATACACTAATGTTTGGGGTTCAAATGGCCAATTTGGTTTAAAGTTTGGACTATGAAGGCTGCTGATGTGACCAGAGAGACCAGTTTTGATTTCTTGAACTGATAAGTTCTGTCCCCTTGAGTCAAAGGAAGTAGTTAAACCAAGGCCACAGAAAGATAAGAATCCACTTAAGAAACGATAAAAAAAAAAAAAAAGAAAAAGAAAAGAAACGATGTCCGTAGTTGTCGGGCAGTGGTGTTCAAGACAGTAATGTTCTAATAAAGCTTCTGAGCTAAGGGCAATATGTCAAAGCCTTCTAAAAAATTACATAGATGTATGAAGTTTCTTCTACTTTGACTAAGATTTAATCTATCTATTCTATATATTTCCTTAGCAGCATTCTAGCTCCTTTGATTTTGGTCAGGGTTTTATCAATTCAGTGAATTAACCTTTATTTCATGTAAGTTATAAGGCTTAATAATTTGGTTAATATCTAATTAATGGACATTTGGAAAACCGTTTCTAAACTTCTAAACTTTTCCTGTAGGTTCCTCTCTCATAGCTGAGCATCCACTGAGGAAAATATTATTGTGGATGCTTGTTGATATGAAGGAAAGTTTGGGAAGCCCTGGCCTTGAGTAATGGGGTGCAGGGTGCTTAATCCATGGTCAGTTTCTCTCCCCAGGTGGCAAGTTTGCCCCAGCGACCCAGCCCCTAGTTTATTGCCCATGATCAATATGTAAATTATTTCCACAGCTTAAGCTCCTTTCAAGCTTTTGAGGTTTCCAAAGTAAAAATTTTCTTCCCAGTATTTTTGAAACTCTTAATTTCAATAAAATTGTCTTAGTATGGACATTTTCAAATGCTTTAATCACTTTTTAAAGAAAAATTTAAGCTAAGTTTCTTAGCTTGAGGTTTGGCAGCCATTCACTCTCAGGAGGAAACTCAAAGATCTTTAGAGAATTTGCTTTGCCTTGGGATTCAAGAGACTCAAGACTTTTATGAATGTTCAGATGCCAACCATGATTTAAAATTTAAAAGGCTTCTTTAGTAATGACCTGTATCTTCATAACTTCAGTGATATAATGATGCCAACATTCTGACCAGACCATGCTCTCTATATCCCTGATGGCACAGCCGAGGAAAAGAGCCAGGATTTGATGCTGAGGACAGGAACTGAGGCTTATGTCTAAATTGTTATTATTTGTTGGCTCTAACAGAGAAATTCGCTATACATAACTATGACCAAGCAATGGGATTTTATCAGAAATTTTAAAAATCTGTGCTATTAAAACCAATTATCTGGAGTCTTGTATAGTTCAGCTGAACACGAAGGCATCCTGACGGTGACCAGGCTTGTGAACCGCCATGCACAGGGCTTAGCGACTGCACTCTGTGGCGCGTAGGCACCACAGGCCGTATCTGAATTCCCAAGTCCAATAGCCCCCTTCCCGTGTTTACAAAAAAGGCTGCGACCTTTCCCCACAGCAGGATGTTTGCAATAGCAGCTCTCAACTGTGGAATTTGCTTATTTGACTGATTCAATTCTGCTTGCTTGATAGGGTTCACAGCAGAAAGTCTTCTGGGGGTAAGATTTATGTACTATTTACTAAGTTTTAGTTGCATGTGTCAGAAACTCTGATCCAAATTGGCTTTAGCAGAAAGGGAAAGCCTGCTGGTCCAAGTCACTGGACAGTCCCGAGCTGCTGTGGCTTCAGCTATTGCCTAGTCCTGGGCTCTGGTAGGGCCAGCAGAGCCCAGATTCTCTCCGCAGCTCTTGTCCAATGCCCTTCTGTGTGCCTGTGCTCTCAGGCTCTCCCCTTGTGGTGACAAAATCTTGTAGCAAGTCCAAACGGAGGTGCCTGGGAGAGAGGAGTTCTGGCAGCTCCACACCAGCACTTGGTGAGATGCTGATGGGTCAGCTTTGGTTTGAAGCTCGGCTGTGGTACAAGATTTGTTCTGATTTGCACAGTTGGGTCACCTGCCCCATTGCAGGGGCAGCATCAATGAAAGAGGCAAACTGTGCTGGTTCTGAAACAAGACAGAGATATTCAGGAGGAGCAGGAACACATCTCTGCCACAGTGTGCTAATCCAATTCAGGAAGTTGAATTGAGCGTCTAGACATATGCACAAGGCACTGCAGGGCACAGAGATCAGGAAAACATCCTGCTTCTGGCCTGTAAGTGTTGTAGTTTAGTGGTGCGAAAAGAAAAAGTTGAGAACACAAAGGAAGTAGGAAGAAGAGACAGTTGGGTGGATGTGAGCCTCAAATCACAAACTCAAGTGCCAAAAATGTGAACATGTATCATGAGCCCTCGTTTTCTATCAAATTTGTCTCTCTTCATTCTCCCTGGAGGCAGTCATGTTTCAGGGTGATGCCAGGTCTGGGCTAGCACTGCCCACTCAGATTTGCTTTCGGTCTTCAGATACCACTAATCCTGGAGATGCTGCTAAGCTGCCCCTTGCTGCATTCACAAGGCTCTAACAGTCCAGGCTGATAAAAGGACAGTGCAGTTTCCTCCTGCGGGCAGAACTGCTGGCCCTCCTGTGCCTCCTGGGCTGACAGGAACTTTGTGGGGTGAGTCGTATTGGCCCTGGGCATGCACAGGGCAGTAGTGCTGGTCTCATGGCAATCAGACCTCCTTGGGTTTCCTTCTCTGTTTTCATCCTCCCTTTCTTTAGAGGACCTGGAAAGGACTACTTTAGGATGCTGCACCATCAACTTGTCCCTTGCTTCCCTCTGGTCCTTCTCTCTCGCAAGGTCTGGGAAATATTATAACGTCTAAGAGGCAGAGAAATTTTATTACTCAGCACATTTCCTTCTAAATGAACTCTGTCTAGTCCTCACAGGGATTTGACCTCTAAGTCCCAAAAGCCACACAAATACTTTATTCATTTAACACATGTATATTGGGCACTTATTTATATGTCATTATGGCATGTGCTGGAGATATTACAGTTAATAAAATAAAATAGTCGATGCACTTGCCCATGGTGCTTACCTTGTTGTGAAGGAGATGTACAGGAAAGACTAAGATAGATAGATAGATAGATAGATAGATAGATAGATAGATAGATAGATAGGGATAGATAGATATAGATGATGATAGGCAGACAGACAGACATGGTAGATACAGACAGATATAATTGATTGGCAGATAGATACAAACGATATAGATGCAGACAGGTATATATGGTTGACAGACAGAGTAAGGGTATCGGCTATGGTGCAGACTAAATATGATGGAAAAACTTTGAGGGATGTAAGCAATGGGGTACTGTTATCTTAGCTATTATTTAAATGGAGCATTTCTATGGAGAAATGACCATAGGGGTTCAAGAGTAGGAACAGAGAAACCAGTCAGGAGGCTTTGAATAGACACCACAAGAACTGG